GGTGAGATATTGAAAACATATCAGACAGAAGACGGCACAGAGTGCTTGTTCTCGGTACTCTATTCGGATATCGGAAAGGTGAGTGTACTTGTTGCTAGGCAAACTCGTCAGCAGCTAACGACGGTAGAAATTCTACAACACCTTTGGCTGGGAGCCCTTCTCATCATCGCACGTCTCCATTCCCGGTACCGTTAGCCAAGGCACCAGCAGCCTGCCCACAGCGCGACCGCTCTATGCACAAGATCTGCAAGACCTGTGCGAGACTGACGTGGCTCTTGTCCGCCGAGACCTAGAGTCGCGGCCAAAAGGAAGTAATGCAGCTGTCGCTCTGATTCCCAATATCGAGACGATCCGCTGGCACCATGCGCGCGAAGAATTTGTGGGGAATGAGCTTCATAGCAAGAAGCCCCAGATCAAGGGCGCCGTTGTAGGCACGGAAAAGGGCAAGCGCGTATGGTGCTACTGGACGCGCATGTGGTATAATCAGGACCCGGCAGATACAAAGGGCAACACGCTGTACATTCTGCGATTGGTGATTGAAGATGGTGGTTGGGAGGGTTCGTCGAGCCATGGCAATGGTACAGCTCGAGATGATAGCCACGAAGATGCCGTTGCAGCCTTGCTGGCCATGGCGCAGCGAGAAGCAGAGGAGTGGAAGATGGAGAAGGTAGAGATGTGGTCGCCTTCAGCCACGGCGCTTGCAGCTGCGAGGAAGCTGCATCCAAGTGCCAATGTTGTTCATAGGGACGTCGATAGTGTCCCAAGCCTCAGGTGGTTTCCGGAGCACCAAGGCCCGGTAGCGGATAAGATGGACTGGGTAGCCAACGAGAAATACGCGTGGTGCTGAACCATGCACGTTGCAGCATACTAGATTGGATGCGCAAGCACGGCGAGCAGGGCATTGTTGATAGAGCTGTACCGTAATATTTCTACGCGTTGTTTTCCACAAGTATTCCATCGCCATCGCCATGTGTTCCTTCCTCAATGAACTGGACTAGCCCAGAAGCATCAATGAAAAAACAAAAAGCCTGTCAGATTGCCATCAACGTCCTGCTTTCCAGTGTGACCGAAGTACACAGCCAGTCAGCTGAAGATCATCGCCACGCTTGCCGAAGCAATCGTAAACAAGGCCTCACTCCGGGACATCGAGGCTCTCAGTCATCAACCAGGTTGGAGATTCTGTGGCTACTTAGAGTAACTCAGAGAGAGATGCATACTATTAGAAATGATTCTATGAAGTCTGCGGCGTTGTTAGTGGTTGTAAAATGTAGGGGGGGAGGGGGAAATGCGAACATGGTCTGACTTGCAAATGATAGGCGAAGTGCAGTATTTAAGCTCGCGCTGGTGGCTCGTGCGTCGAAGAGGCTCGTGCACGGTGAGTGAAGATCAGCGAAAATTTGTTTGCCAAGACTGGCGGCCCACTGTTTTGCCGACTCTTGACCGCGGGTGAGCGTGAGTGATTGGTCATGAATTGGTATGAAAGAGTGGTGAAGGTGAGGATGAACTCCACTCGACCCGTTTGCAGTGCAGACTCTGCAGCCGCCCATGCGAAGAGTTTGCCAATTGCAAACTCACGTGCCACACTGTGTCCTGCTCCGACTCTGAGCTCCGAGATGCTGCGCTGAGCGTACCGAGGAATTGTCGCATTTGGATAGTGTGGTTGGTTGGTCTTGGGTGCAAAATCGGCGTACCTCAGTTGATGATGGAAAAGAGTGGGTGTTGTGGTTGAGTGCAAGCATAATTGCATTGTGTAGGGAATTTGTGCATGCAGCTTTGTTTTGGGAATGATTTTGTCCACCTATTGGATGACATGCAATAATCGGGTTGCTTGATAGCATCTAGTCATGTCCGTGTATCAAAAAGTTCACATGTTCGGTCTTCCTATCCAAGGACCTGTCTTCCATTGATAAAGGAGAAGGCGAGGCCGCTCACATGTGCAATGGAGTCAGCGAGAATATGCACAAAAGGCATCAAGATATCCAGTGTTTCTCACACATGATACAATGCATCAACTGTTCCAGCAGGTGGAGAGGTTGAGGTAAAACATGGACGAAGTCGTCGTCTGCACATCAAGCTGTTACGCATATCTCAGAATATCATCACTTCCATATGCCTGGGTGCTCGATGCATACATTCCATGACTTGAGCCAGTCCAAATAGTTTCTGCATTGGAGTATTCGATACATATGTGTGTGTTGCACGATATTGTTCCTCTTGGAGCTTTATGTTAGATCCTCATCCAAAGTCTCATGGCATGATGCAAGATCGAGCTCAAATATCGACGGGCAACCCGTAATCGAGCTGGCAGAACAAAGCTGAGGCCCAATCGCTATGGTGTCTTGAGTGAAGCAGGTAGTATATCTACTCCAAAAATAAATCCCAATATATATCTATAGCCTGATCATGCATCACAACACCACAGTATACTTCGGTTTTATATGGGGACATGAGATAACTAACACAGTCGTAATAAGATCTTATAGAGTAGATTGCGAAGACTTGCTTAAGTAGTACAATACCATCCTAGTATACTACTTGACGATGTCTCGAAGAAAAGAGAGTATGGAATAATGTTAAACAATATATTCAAGAATACATGAGTATAATTCTAAGAGATTACACAACAAAAAAATCAGTGACAATTTCTTATGCCTCAATCCAAAGAATACAGCTGATAAAAAAAATCAACATGAGGCAAACTGCAAGTCTTATCATGAAGGCATTGAGTGTCGCGTCGTATGCGATTCGGGTTGTGATATGTTTAGCGACGTTCTGCAAAGCGACCTGTACACACTCAACTAAGAGACGGCACTCTACTTCCAATCGCCAGTGACTAAGATTCCAAACCCAATTTCAAAATCACCTTCAAACTATATAGAGGCTATCGGTCAACCTAAGGTCACTCGGTACGTAAGTGTCACTAACACAGATCACGCTTCCGACAGCTGCGCAATCTGCAACAATTTCCAATAGCGTCAGTTACCATGCCAAGTCTCCAAGCACATCAAACCACTACGACCACAAATGAGACAATGTGGACGGGCAGCGTAAAACAAGGGTGGGAAATAAGGGTCCTCTGCACTTCTCTCTGGTTATATACAAAGAGACCAACAAAGACGTAGTGACAATGATTATATTCACCATGTAGTTTCTCTCCTGTCGTAAGCTAGATAAAGTAGCTTTTTTTGGGCTCAGAATTTCTGAGTGCAGTAGTAAAAGAAAAGAGGAGATGACAAGAAAGCTTCTTCGGCACCAAAACTTGAAACCCCCCCCCCCCCCGTCCCCCGTCCCCCATCTTCCTGCATAAGTAAACCCACGTGACCTATACATGATATCTTTCTGGTGGGCGCTTAACAAAGACACCACCGGATTCATGTTGAGATTCATGCCCAGCTCGTTTTACCACTTTAGCAGAGTCTCTGTATTTTTTTTCGCGTACATTAGCTTTATTTTTTCTTTTTCTTTTCTTAACGACATGAATCAAAAAAAAGCTTACCTGACCAGAAGTGCACTGAGGAATACAGCTTATAATCGTCCCAGGGGCATTGGTGCAGCACGTATTCTGTCGTCGGGTACCATCCGGTGTACAGCAAGTTCCGCATACCGTTGGTGTAATGGTATTCTGGCGCGCCTCGACTGCTTGGCCTTCAAGAGCATCGAGAGCAGGAGCGGCAGTTGCGAAGCTGATGAGGAGGCATGCGAGAAAGGTTTGAGGATGCATCTTGGAGAGATTGTTATTCGTGTGGAATAGTTAAAAAAGGCGGGTATTTTTGGTTAGGATGGTAGAATGGATTGAATTGTGTTTGGAATTTGTAGAGCATACGGAGATGATATGTTTATATACACTCTTTTTCTTAAGTGGTATGCAAAACATTATCTCCTTTCTATTATCCTGCTAACTCACAAACGACTCTGGTCCCCTCCCCCCCACTTGTGATGCATTACCTTTGACAAATTCTAGAACTAACAAAGCTTAGCGGGGGTCGTCTTGGTGTTTCAGTCACACATGTTGTAGACGTTAGTACCCTTTAACTCAGTTCGAAAATCAGCTCCCAAGAGCTAATTCTGTGACTTGAAAATTTTGTCTCTGTTGGCTATATAGCGCACCATATCAATTGTCTCAGAAAAGATTGGCAGGCCACACTCCAACCTGCCGCAATCAGGTATTAAAAAAATCGACTTTGCAGTCAAAATAAAAGGGTTCGGGTGAGTGTCAGCGACACCTTTGCTCGAACCCTGAAAAATCATTCTATAGAATAATATTTTTTAGTTTATTTTTGTCTCGGGGTTGATAAGAGGATAAACAATAATATCATGAACTCTCTGCTCTATTTTATGATTTTATAAGATAGGGTCCACGTGATGATACCAGTATTAACTCACATCTCCCATTCAAAACTTCGTGTGAATTTCAGTTGAAAGGATTTAGATGCTACTGCTGTATTCACTCAGCTAAAGTGCTATCCACATCTCAGATCTGTGTGTGATCTCTCCATCCCCCAACCCCCATCCCCAGCCTACACTACAAATCATCTTTCTTTTTTCTTTATTCAAAAAAGCAAAAACTACCTCCACGCTCATCTCCCCCACCTTTATTCAGTTGGGGGCAAGATAATTTACAATTACACACGTACACTTTGGGCTCAAAAAATCTAGCACAATATGAAAAAAAGCAAATCGCCTTATGAGCAAAAAGGTAACTGCGCATAAAAAAGCCGCCCAAGCCCACAAACAAATCCAAAGTACGCCCCCGCCCATGTTCCTATTACCAAGGACCTGCTGTGTCCTGTCTCTGCATGTGCTCTAGAGACCAAGACTTAAAAAATAATGTCCAAGGCCAGCTACCAAGCTACGGTTTTTGATCTGCTTCTGTGTCTAATACAAAGTAGAAGGTAAAAGGAAATGGTGAAAGGATGGACAGTTAGATGGTAAGAGAGAGATAGACACAGAGAGTGTTTGGAAACAACCCCAAAAAAGGAACAATAGGGAGAGGGTATATACTACATATCCGTAATCATAGCTTGATCGTCCTGGCGCTGACCCTCGGTTACAATGTCAAGGAGACGCGCGTACGGTACGGTAATGCGCTGTAGATCGCGGTGTTTACCTGGATCATGAGTGTTAGCAAGTGGGTGCATTTTTGTATCTGGAGTATATCCAGAAACATAATCGCAAAGAAGAAAACTTACCAAGAATCAAAACAGCTTCCTTCAACAAGTCCTCTTTCTTCCAGCCGCAAATTCCAGAGGGCTCCTTGGTCGCTTCGTTGGCGCCTTGTTGTTCTTCATCGTTGTTGTCATCGCCATCCTCGTCGCCAGCGGTAATAAGATTGCCCATCAGACCTCGCAGCAGCTCTTCAATCTTGCCCTTGAGGCCTTCGGCGCCAAGTCGCTTGACATACATGGTAAAGTAGATCTTATACTCTTCCTTTGCGCCCAAGGTACGGGCGGCAGCGACACGGTTCTCAAGATGTGCTACACTGGCACTGCTCTCAAACGTCTCGTAGCCTTCTGCGGAGACCAGTATCTTGATCAGTCGCTGGAGGTGGAAGGCGCGACCTTGTAGCAGGGATTGGTTCGTCGTGTTGCGCTCGAGAGCGGGTATGATACCTGCTGAAATATTTTCTGGAGAAACCTGGTCGTCCTTTTCTTTTACCACGGCCTTGTCTTGCGACGAGCGGATGTTGCCAACGGAAGAGTCCGTAGAATTCCAGTACTGACTGGTAACGCCCCACCATGGCTCCGACAAGCGCTGCCAGATGTACATATCGGGATTATATGCGTATCCTTCACCGTTAGACATGGCCACCGTTATCCGACCAGCTGAATTCAAGCGTGCAAACACGATACCGGGTGATCGAGTAAGGTGCGGTCCTTGGGCATACGCTGCTATGTCGAGGATAGGGGCCAGTGAAACAGGTGGGTGAGGCGAGGACATGCTCTTCAGGTTCCAGATGTAGCACATGCCAACTGCTGTTATACACATTAGCCACCAGCCTCGACAGTCCATGATGACAGGTTGAGCCTCGAGAATCATGGCGTTTAGTGTCCGCCGGCCTGCGGGTGTCCATGCGTACACCGAACCATCCTCGCATGCTGCAGCGAAAAAGTTTGTGTTGCCAGTTACCAGCAACACAGCTTTTGGCAAAAAGTCCTGCCATAGTGACTGTCCTTTACTAGTACAGGTCAATCTTGTTGGATCATGATCTTGCGGTCGTCCAGTCCGCGATGGACCGCTGGCGTTGCGTGCTTCCAGTATGACAGTGTCTGGTATATCTGCTTTGCCCGTGTTGGCATCGACACCACTCTGCAGTGGCTCACTGCCATCCATAGTTCGCACGATGACACTCCTGACTTTCGGCACCGCCAATCGCACCTGGGCCAAACTAAGCGATGGGTTGACAATAGCTGGCCTGAGTACTTTGGGTGGATCATGCGCTTCGTTGTTCTTTGGCGGCGCAGCAGCAGGTGGAATGAGGCCATTCTCGCTATTGAGTACTATCGCAGCACCTCCGGGGTTTACAGAAGCAGCCAATCTCCGTTCGACCTGCTTATCTTCGTCTCCTTCAATCTCAGCAAACTTTCTCTTGTTACCAATAAGCAAAGTAGCAAGGCCGCCTTTCGGGAACCCATCGTACGGTTTTGATAGATCGAGGATGTTGTGTGGGTTGTCACTCCTACCACCAGATGTTGTTGTCGCGGAGAGGAGCTGTGTCTTTGGCAAGGAAGACTCCCCCACACCTGACGAAGATGACATCAACATTGGCGCTATTCGCTTCTTTCCATCTTTTGTGACTGTCACTCGTTGCTTTAGCTTTTCTACTCTCTGATCCGGAGGGGGCTCAACGGGGGCTGGCGGTTGCGCTGGGGTAGTGGCGGCGGCGGAGGATCCGTTGGTCTGGGTTGTCGTTGTCGTCGTCGAGGGGGTAGTGCCATTCGTTCCGTTTGTGATTGTAGGAGGTTGGACTGCACCGCCATCACCCATCAATGCACCCATCCTGCCCTGAACACCTTTCAATTCCCCGCTCTTGCTGCTCTCTTCTAGGAGTAGCGCATCTGTACCCTCAATGATACCGACTCTTCTACCAGCACCAAACTTGGCAAGCGTCTTCTCATTCTCTGCAAGCGTGGCAGGATATCCAAGCTCGCCCGTCTCAAATACGAGTGTCATGATGCTGCCGTCTAAGCTAGTCGCGTACAGTGTCTCTCCGTCGGGTGACCATGCCAAGTCAGATATCGACTTTCCTGCCAGCTCCTGCGAAATCATGAATGGCCTGGGAAAGCTCGTATTCCAAACACTCAGGCATTTATCCTGCCCGGCGCATGCGACAATGGTCACGGTCGGTTGTGTGATGGTTCCATCTTTTTCTGGGCGTGGCGGATCCCTGTAGAACAATCGTGGGGAGAACGAAGTGACCTCGACAGGCCCTTCATGGCCAACAAGACTAATATCTCCATCCCACGATCCACGCGAAAGAATGGCGACTGAGCTGACCGGTCCGTTTGTAGCGTTCGCGGCGGCAATATGTGCACCGTCTGGCGACCACGAGCATCGGCGAAAGTATGTGGTAAGAGGGGAGGTTTGAAAGGGGGCGGTAATTGTATGGTCCAAGACAAAGTTGTTGACCTGGTCCTGCTGAGATGCATTGGGCGGCGGGGAGTTGAATCGGTAGATTTTGATAGTTCGGTCGTCGCTTGCAGTCGCAAAGTACTTATTAGCCGGGTCGAATGTTATGCCCTTGACGTGACTTTGATGGTTGGATAGCGTCTTGAGCTTCTCGAACGAATGGCCTGACCAGACAACCACCTTGGAGTCCAGCCCCACGGAGACTAATATCGAGGAATCGAATGACCAGCCCAGATCCTGCACGTCGTTATCGTGTCCTATGAGGCGGCGGATGACGCGCCAGTTCTCAACGGGCGGGGGTTCGTTTGATCCTGCGAGTCCATCAGCAATTGCTCCTCTCCTGTCTGCCATGTGTACCCACCGAATGCCGCGTGTGTGGGCGCATTCTTATCAAGCGCATAGACACATACTATCTTGTCGTCTGCGCCGGATGCCAAGTATTTGCCGTTGGATGAGAAGCGAACGGCATGGATGGTGCCTGAATGATGGCTTACGGCCGCGAGCTGCTTGGGCTTGGTATATGTGGGATCGTTGGATTTGAGGATGGCTTCGGTAGACCACACGCGTACGTATCCATCTACGTGATGTGTATGTTAGCTGTGTGTTGGAGAGCAGCGCATCGCGTAGGTTAGGCCGGGGGATGGATGAACGAACCTCCGGCAGCAGTAGCCAGGCGCGACCCATCGGGGGAGACGTGGCAGCTGTATACTTCAAAGTCCTTCTGTTCACCTGGAATGAGAGCCAATGTCAGCAAGATAAGAGCAGAATGCGAAGTGCACAACAGCGAGCATGGGCAGAGATGGACGCACCGGGATGTGTCAACCACTGTGGCTTGATGAGATGCATGGTCGCGTCAAGATTGCTGACAGCTCGGGCATGCTCCTACGCGACCATGAAAAGATATGATGCGGACAGCGAGGGCGTGGTGGTGGACCGCGACAGTTGTCTAGCGCTGGCGACGCGAACTCGCAGTCGACGCTACTTGGCAGACGTTTGGGCAGGGGTTTAAGGTTTAGGTGCATGCGTCGATCGAAAAGCGGGTGTTAAACTAAACGAGCGGCGGGAAAGTTGCAATAGTAGACCATCATATTTGTACTAGCGCTGGATATTGTACAAACTATGTAATACCATGACTACCATGCCTATCTCAAGGTCTTATAGGTACACGTTCCTCGGCTGAGCGCGACATGTACGCTCTCCTTCTCCAATCGTCTTATTGGCCATCGTACGTTCTGGTCTTGATGCCAAGCAAGCGACACCACCCCCAGACGCTTTCTCTCGCGGCCCAACCCAATCCTCTTACCATATCTATGGTTTCGTCGCCCACATTTCCCATAGCATATGAGAAGCCAGTACTTCCCGTCCATATCCCTGTGGAACGCGCGCCCCTTGTATCATGATCATTAGGCGCTCTAAGAGAAACTGAGCGTGCAACGTACAGGGCTTATGCCAGCTACAGTAGGGGACCCAACTTTGACCCATCAGCCTGCACTACAGGTTGATGGCCAAGGCCTTCATTTCGCCTTCTTCCTCTTCTTGAAGACAACAGCTGGTACTGCCGGCGCATCCCCCTCCTCCTTCTTGACTACCACTTCAGCAGCTTTGGCTGCGGCCTCTTCTGCGGTAGGTATGTCCTTTAGTGTTTTCGTGTCAGCATCATCTTCCACCTCTGCTTTCACACCATCATCTGGCTCCTCCTTCTTCACCTCAGGCTGTGCCTCCACACCTGACTTCTCCCTCTTTCCAAACAAACTCTCAATATCGTCATCGCCTCCCTTGCTGCCTGGAAAGTTCTTGAAAGTGTTTCCCCAGCCTTTTTTCTTAGTGATCAGCTCTCCAGCGGCCTTTTGCTCTTCTTCGTCCTCATCGAGCTGTCTCTTTCGTACACCCTTGTTTAGAGATGTCGCCTTAAATTCACCGTCCTCATTCACTTCTCCAACCACTTCCTCCGATACTGTCTTCCACTCTCCCGCCATCGCTAGGTCACCACGAGCGGCTGTAGGTATCGCAACACCCATAGCCGCCAGTTCCTCCCATTGTCTTTTTCTGTCTTCTAACGTTGCCTTCTTCTCCGGTCGCTTCTCGAACGTGGGCTTGCCGCCTACGCCAGTCGCGACCGAGGGGCCCGATGAAGAAGATACCAAACCATTCAGCCGCGCGACTTCAGCCTGCGCGCGCGCTTGGTTGCGCTTCTCATTTTCCTGCTCGCGATGTAGTCCTTTGAGACTGCGCTGGATGTTGCCTTGGTGGCGGCCGGTCGCTTCGTGCTGCGCGCGTTCAAACTTTGTGTCTTTTACATAAGTGGAACAGAACTTGCACCAGTATTTTGGCTACAATATTGTTAGTCGCCGATATACAAGTAAGATGGTTTTGTTATACTCACTGTTGACTTCCAATACTCGGCCATGATGAAGTGTCGAGTGGAGACTGCGACATCACGAAGTCGTCGGAGCTTGAGTTTCAGTGCACGGACCAGGCTCGGTGGTCCGCTCCGCAACATGGGGGCGCACTGTCCATGATGACATTTCACCATGTCCGAGTGACATCTATTTATTGCATACTCTGATGACTCTTGTATCATCCCTGTTTACGAGCTTAATGTCACTTTAGCTCAATATCAAAATGAGGCTGCTTTTCTAATTTGAATTCAGTAAATCAAATATTACGGCAGGCATGAAATCAGCATCGATATGTAGCAGCGGAGGTATCACACAAAGTGCTGGTTTAAGTTCAGCCTTTCAGGAAGAGTACGCCTTTCAGTCAGCACCAATTGCAGAGAACTAGCACCTTAATGAGCACCTTGTCGAAACTAGTGTTGACACGACACAATGCACTCATGGAACAATTGCCCAACGAGCACAACTTGCACTCCAAGGTTGATGTATACACGTATAGCAAATATTCATAGCACTCTCCATACCGTTGTCATACCAATAAATGCATTCCAGTTCATCATTTTACTTCCAATCTATAAAGCTCATACCGACGAAGTAATGGAGAAAAACGTCTAATACGCCCCTCTATCCAAATGTCTATTTTGTTATCATTGGCTATCAATTACTTTCCTTAAAATCAAAACTTTACAGGATACCTCTCCCGTACCACCTTGCCATATCGATATAGCAGCGCAGGGATGGGGATAAATGCTACAGCAATAAACCCCAATATGCTATTTCTCCATCCCAGACCCAACTTCTCGTACATTAGCGGCCCGCTGAGCGGCAGGACAGCACCCATGAGACAGCGGAGAAACGACATAGCGGCCACAGCCGACGCAGCGTACTGTGGAAAACAGTCAATCATGTAGGTTTGAAGTGGAGCGTAGAGACCCATGAGACCGAAACCGAATGGGATGAGTGATGCAATTGGAACGATCCAGTGGACGTGATATTGAGCCGTCCAGCCATGCCTATGTATATATGTTAGTATTCGAATCGAGACGTGAGCAAAGAGAATCATACAAGAAGAACGATATTGGGATCATAAGACCAAAGAATACACCAGCCGGCAACCGCATTTCCGGCTCGTAAACGCCCTTATTCTTCTTCGTAAGCCGGATAATCGTTGCGTCGCTAGTCCTAGCAACGAATGCGACACCAAAGCAATTTCCGACGCCGATGCCCAGGTATGCGAGACCCGTCATTTCAGGAGACCAGCCATATGTATCGATGAAGACGGGAGTGAGACTCGTGAAGAGCATCATGAGGAGGCCGAATACAAAAGATATGTAGAGGGAGCAGAATAGCACAATCGGTGACTTGACAAGCATCTGCACCGTGCGGGTGACGCTGTTGCAAAGACTGCGCTTGACACTCATTACTTCCACACCCTTCTTGTACATCATGATATTCTGGAGCTCAGGCCGATTCAGCTCTTTCCGGAGCCGCAGCGTCTTGCGCTGCAGGAGAATAGGGTGGTACGTCTCAGAGCTGAAAGCGAAGAGACTGCCCGTCAAGACGCATCCCGCAATGAGAATAATCCACATGTTCCAGCGCCACCCGATGCACTGGGCAATGAAGCCTCCGCAGATGGGACCGATAATCGGGCCAAAGAGGATAGCCAGGGATAAAATGGATACCGCGAGTCCGCGCTTCGCAGTCACAAAGACATCCGCAATAACACCCGTCCCAATGGTGAGACACGGACTCCCACCTACACCGGCGAGAAACCGCATGGCGATGAGACTACTGAGATTTGGTGCGAGTGCGCATCCCAAGGTAAAGCCGCACCAGGCGACGCTCGAGCAGTTGAGCACCCAGTAGCGTCCGTAGAGCTCGGAGAGCGGGCTGAGGGATAAGACGCCGACTGAGAATCCGAGAACGTACACACTGACGGTCAGAGAGGCTAGTATCTGTGATGTGTTGCCGAATTCTGCGTCGATGAAGGGTGTGGCAGGTGCGAGAATAGATGAGGAAATGGGGCTGAGGGTTGTTAAGCATGTTACTAGGATTAGTAGCAGCCACTTCTTTCCCGTGGAGAAGTTTCGGGGATTCTTAGGGTCGTCTTGGAAGTCCCAGCCGACGAGGTTGTTGTCGAGGTCTGAGAGAGGGTACTTTTCAATGAAGATTTCGTTTTGCGTAATGTCCACCTCTTGTGAGGACCCTTTTTCAATGTCTTTGCTTGCATCGCTTTCGACTTGCTGAACTTCCTGGGGTATTTATTAGCTCTATTTTGCTTTGGAGAGATGGCTGATAGCGAATTTGGATAAAGATATCCAATCTTCGTCATGCTGGCACTGAAGTACTAATTGATGGATCTTGGGTGGTCCGCATACCTTTTCGGTCACTTCAGCTTCCCTCTCCGAGTCCGAGATGTACGTATCCGAACTATATGTCGACGATACCGCTGTATCTGAGCCACTGCTAGAGTGTGGTCGATTCTCTTCTGGTAAAGCAGCCATCTCGACAGCCCCAACTATAGCTCTCGCTACGGTATTTTGGGTATCAAATCTTTTGGAAACAAGCTTCTTGGCACAATTGCTTTGAAACAACAGTCACAAGCAGTGAAAGATGCAGTGAAGAATAGAAAAGCAATGTATTCTCAGTGTCAAGACCATTTTATATGGTAACCAAACCCCCCCGTCAAGCAGTGGCCTTTCTTGCTGCATCAAGACACGGTATACAATATGCCATCTCACAGAGAGCATCCCAGAAAGTACCGAGAACATGGGAAGTATTGCCAGAACCAGGCTGGTATCACGGACGCACCGAAGCATGGTCGTTCGCATCAACCAGCTATCATCACGGACGCACCGAACCCATGAACGCACGTTCAACATCTCGACACAACCCACATATTCATCCATGCAGAGAAACGAACGACCAGGATCTCGTACACTTTCACAACGAATGGGTCTCACCTCCGACCGTGAGTGAGAGAGGCGAAAGGCTCACGATACCACTAGGATACACGGCCATGTAATCCGCTGGCACTCGTGCACGAGCAACAACCCATCTAGTCTCACCAAGTCACACACACGAAACGTACTCTAGTATGAAAAAGAACGGGTTCCCTGGGGCCTAGAACAGCAAGTGACATGCTACACACAACCGCTACAAGTGGCGAGCAAGGATTCACAAAAACCCCATTCATCACTCCACGATCCAGACCCCGACATTCCCCATCGGATAAAAAACCCCACCCATACAATAGTCAACAGATCTAGAAATAGCCCGCTTACTGGTTGTGCGGTGGCACCTCCCCCAGCTTTCCACCCATACATAGCCAGCGATTACGGGGCCACCGTCCCGGATGTGGCGGAGCCAAAGTTTAAGGGGACCTTGTCTAGTACAATGTACCCAAACACACGGGTTTATTTTGCCCATGTCCGTGCCACACTTCTTATT